TGGTCATTACCTGTAATACAACACAAAACGACAATTAATACTGGATTTACTGAAATTATAGCTCTAATTACTGTATAAATTATGTGTAATTTATTTATCTTATTTTAAATGACATTTTTTTGGTTATTATTCTGTGATTTATATTAATGTAAAACTTATAATAGGTTTGTCTGAAAAGAACTAGTTTTTCACAAAAATTCAATGAATACTAGGCTTAGAATCGCATCAACTATTTTACATACATATTTTATAATGAGTTTTTTTGTAATGAATTTCATTTATTTGATGAACAAATGGGACAATAATTTGAAAGATTTTTTTTCCTTTGAATCGATTGGTAAGAAGAATAACAGAAATTTTGATGAATAATAATCTCGTAATCGTATTGTGTGTCTGTTTTTTTGTGATAAAAGTTTTGTTTTGTTACACATATTAGGCATATATTCCACAAACCCTACTAAAACCCTACTATATTTTGCCCATAGATGTGCATAACATATGTACAATGTTTTACAACTTGTAATAAATGTATTCATTTTGTATTGTATTTTGCAGGCAATCGGAAATCCGCTGAACGAAGAATTCCAGTTGAAAGCCTGGGATGCAGTCCTACCACTCGTTAATAAACTCAAACATTTCTACCAGTTTTCCCTCAAATTAGGTTTGAGTGCAAAATTTTATACACATTTTGTTGCTTTTCTTGTTGGAAGAAGTTTTTTGGTGTTTTTTCCACGTTTTTAATTAAATAATTAGTTTACGAAATATTTCCGTAATATTCTCTCTAATTATATAAATATTTTTAGTCATAAATTTTTATGTATTATTTGAGATTTTTATTGCTTTTTATTATTTGTTAATTAAGTATACATTTGTTTGTTTAGAGAAAACATTTTTGTGTTTAAAAAAGTATTTTTAATTGAAGTTTTTAATGACAGGAAAAACTGATGTTAAGATAAAAAATTACACCAAAAACACACGTTTTTATTGTCAATTGAAAAGTTTTGACGTTTTGAATGACTTGTTATCTGATATATGTATTAACACATTGTTTTTCTCGTTACGCAACCTCTGGTCGCAAACGTATTGTTGGACTCCAGTAGAGGATTGTGTGCCCAAACTGTTGGCCGCCCTCTGCTCGGGTTCGATGAGCCCGAGGCAGCACTTGGAGACACAGCAGGCGCTGGTGAAGCAGTTCGCAGAGATACTCGACTTTGTGCTCAAGTTTGACGACATGAAGATGACTAACCCGTCGATACAAAACGACTTCAGTTACTATCGGCGGACAGTGAGTCGCCTCCGGATCGCCAATCACGACAATCCCGTCTTCGCCGACAACAACGTCAACATATCCAACGAAGTGGCGAATCGGATGTCACTCTTTTACGCACAGCCGACGCCTATGTTGAAGGTGTTGTCCGACTCGACCTCACATTTCGTGATCAACAACAAGGAGTTGCCGATAGAGAACACCACCGAAACGCTCGGAACTATGGCTAAAGTCTGCCAACGAATGATTGAGAATCAGTTTAGTATTGATTTTTGGCATTCATTTGTGTTTTTCGTTGAAGTTTTATTTTAATGGCATTTGTAATTAATTAGTTATTACTAGTTTTAATCAATTTTTAATTGTAAGTTATTTTTGTTTGAGCATAGCATATATAGATTTAATTAGAATTATTTGTTGAATAGTTTTATAGTTGTAATTGATTTCTTAACATTTTTAAGACATCAAATTTTTGATCGACTTTTGATTTACTGAAAGAGTATTTTTCATTCCCATAAGTGATCACAAACTCACCAAAGCTTTCAATA